AAAAAAAAAGTGGAATACATGGAATAATCCGTCCATTTGGTCATTTGTTCTTCCTCTCTCTTTTTAATAGTTTGTTAATCTTATTCAAATTATTGAAACAAAATATTAAAAAAAAAATAGAAAATATTGACTATAGAGTAGCATCATCAAAATGTGAATAAACTAAACTTGGATCTTATCATCATTCAAGAATAATTAAACTAATGTTCTAAAAAGTTTTTAAAGTATAGAAACAAAAATAGACGTTTTAAAAGTACGTAAACCAAGATGAACTAAAGTTGAAAATATAGAAACTAAAATAGACGTTTTGAAAGTACATGAACCAAAGTCATACAAGGACCAAAATAATATTTAAACCTTTACTATGACTAAAGATTTTTCGATGTGACTTTTTTAAATTAAAAAAAAAAATTGTTTATTCAACAATCTAATTTATTTCAATTTTTGTAAAAGAATAGGAACATTCTTCATATACATTCACGATGAGAGTAGCCCATTCTATCCCAATATTTACTTTCAACCTAAACTTTCACCATCACACAAATTGAAAGTTAAGACATTCTAAATGCAAAGACTCTTCCACCATTTTTATATGAAAGAATTGGGTAAAGACACAAAAATTTAATCATCTAAAAGTCTATCTATTTACATCAAAGAAGATACACTAAGATCATACTAGAAAAGGTGGGTAGTATGGAGCCTTAAGCTTCAGCAGAAGCTTTGTTTGTTTGTTGTACTTTCTCTGCATCGAGCGAGGGCGCTGCACTCGATCTATCGGTCATGACTTGCTGCTCATTATCTTCATTAAATCTATCTACACTGTTGAGAAATATTCCTGGTGTTCAAGAAGAGACGTGTCAATATAATAAGTCTTTCCAACATGTTGTGTCTTACTTTCTTCGAAATTGATGCGTTGCCGTGTCTGTTATATTTGTCACATGTATGTGCTTCTTAGATATTTCAAGTAGAGAAGGACACAATCGATTATTAAATTCTAAGTGACAGCACAAACATGGAATCAGCAGACACCTATGTTCTCAATTTAATGCAATCAACAGAAAGAAAGTATGGAAGTTTACCTATGAACCAAATAACAGCAGCTGGGAACAGAATTGTTGTAAGAATGAGAGAAGTCTTCCTCCAGTTGTTAAGATGGTCCTATAAAATCATTGATCTTATTTTGAGCCACTGAACCAGTAATATTGTAACACTTGTGCAAAAAGATCAAACATGGTTGAACAATCATGGTTTGCCAAATTCAGGCAGTAAGTATGTAATCTCTACGTAACAATCATCAGATGGGTTGTTTTCTAATTACACAATCAAAACTTTATGATACTGTGAGAAATATAGTTTACTAACAACATCACAACAATCATAACTTTAATGTTAAATTATAAATTTAATCCATAAACTTTGATGTGTCTAACTAGCCTGCAATATTTAAAAAGAATAAGTTACATCCCTAAACGGATTTTGAATTGTGATTCTGCGTGCCCGTTCACTAAATAATCATTTCCTAAGAAATATGGCTTCAAAGGATAATGAAAACGAAGTTGAGAAACGAGCTCCAAATTTGTGTAGAACTAAAATAGACCAACATCTAGAATATCATATGAAAGATTTGAAGTAAAGAGGCATAATTGAGAAAATTATTTACACTACACTAAGTGAAAATGTATAGAGCAAAACAGAGCACAAACCTGGAGAACTCCAACAAGAGGTGAGGATGGCACATCTCCAAAAATGTGGATTGAAACAGTGGAAATAGCCATAGAAAGTGGCCTTAGACTAGGCTTCACGCAATGTAGGCATATGAAATTTACCGGACCCTACAGTGGAGAAAACATTAATATGAACAATAAACACTTACCTGCTTTCTTTTCCTATGCTGATAAACCAATCAATTGAAAATGTAAAATTATATAAAAGATTGAATATGGACAGACCTATCTGCATAATTTTTTGAGTTAGCAGTGATTTAATCTATTGGGTCTCATGTTAATTTCGAAATCCACAAGCTGAGGAGAGTCTACTTCAGCATATTAGCTTAAGCTTTCTTAGTTTAAACGTTAATTGTATTAGAGTTTGGGGTTTGAGTAAAACTAGGGCAATAGAGGTAGGCAAAAACGGTTTAGGAATGGCTTGATTATAGCAAATCATGATGATAGACATAAAGGCCAAAATAGTAATTTAACTGTTAAATAATTGGAGAAAAGGCAAGGTGTTTGATTATAGCAAATCATGATGATAGACATCCTTCATGAGATTCATATTAATTTCCAAAGGTCGAATTCCCCTTTTTACCCTTAGGTCGAATACATATTTACAATTGGAGGCCTAACACGCGCTTCTTAATATTGTGTTAACTTGAAGCTATTCATAAATTATAATGTAATAATCAATAAAAAGGAAAAAAAGGTTAAAAACTTCATGGAAAAGCTTTATGAAAAAGAAGAACATACCTGTATGGCAAATACTAGTATTTCACCAATTGAGAAAAGGGCTAGGAAGCCATACATGCTTTTGAAGCAAAAGGCACCAAAGCAAAATGCCCCTCCAATAAATGTTGTCGCAGAAAGAAGCTAAAATGGAAGTTTAGGTAATTATACGAACGATCAATTTATAATACACAAAAAGCCTTGCATTCAAAAAGTTCGGAATAAAAATATCAACACATCCCAAGGTATTTCTGCAATTTATAAATATAGTTCATGATCTTAGCACAGTACACAAATGTTACATATGATATGACAAAGATAAATGGAGAAGATCCCACATTATTTTTGAATTGGCTAAATACATAATTTAGCCTCTAATGTTTGTGCCAATGTTCAGTTTCGCCTATAATCTTTTAAAAATTTCAACTTTATCCTTGATATGTATAAAATTTTTATTCATCAAGTCTGCACTGTCACTAAACATTAAAAGATGATGTGTGAATGTAAAAATGATTTTATTTATGAGGCTGTTCGTTTTTCTATAATAGCAAGCTATTTTGAGACTGATAAACTACTATTAGCCAATCATATAAAGTGGGCAGTTTTCAATTTTATGGATGAGCGTATTTATTTCATCGAATTAAAAGGTAGGGTGATTTTAATTCAATTAATAAAATGTATTTTGACATCATATCATGACTAAAAATCTAGTAAAGGATGATTCAAGAAACCAATCCCTTTGAAGTACAAAGAAAATCTACCTTAAAAGCATTGGAGATGGTGTTGTTCATACGATCCAAAATATAACCTCCTGCTAGTGTTCCAACGATTCCAGACACAACTGTAATCCCTCCAAAAACCATATCTGCACTTTTCTGCCAAAATATTACAAAATGTCAAAAATTCCACAATATCTCCATCTTTACATCAACTTATTCATCTGATTAATAGTGAGTTTGGGATGAATTTTGAGAAAAGTATTTTTAAGTGGAACACTTCTTCTATAAGCCCTTTTGAAAGAAATATTAATTAAATGCTTCTTCTAAAAACACTTTTAAGTTCTTTCTTAAAATGTTCTTTTAAGTTCTTTCTTAAAGTGTTTTTAGAATTTTCAAAATTACCTTTGACTAGGTAACCAAACACCATGAAAATTTCAAAAAAATGCTTTTAGTTCACTCAAAAACAACTTTTACCGTTTCAAAAGTCATTTCAAACTCACCCTAACAACAAAAAGAAAGTAGGAGAGAGTAAATGATTTGATAGGCAAGATTATAGTCATAAGGTAAAGTGATTTTTCACCATTTGATAAATACTGTAACCAGCTTTGGGTCCCCAATATGAGTATGCGCCTAGGACAAAATTATACGCCGCATAACCTAAAAACAAATTTTAGTTAAAAATAAATTTGAAGTGTCATAATTGAAAGTAAAATCCAAAGACCTTCATATCATTATGATCAATACTTGAGAAAAAGTACAGTAAAGCAAGTGAAGAAGTGAAGAACATACCTAGAACATTGGTAACAAAAACCTTTTCAACCAGAAGCTCTTTCATATCTTTCATGAATTGCAATACTTCTTTAAGACTTTTTCTTGCAAAACTGCCATAAGTTATAAAGACAGAACAGGATCAGATGGCATACTAGCATTTTATTTCTACTTTTGATCTCTTACACATTATACCTACAGTGAATGAAGAGAATATGACTTTCATTGGTTTCATTTAGACTAAAATCCTTTACATTGACACCGTACAATGAAGTGTATGTGCTCTTCCCAAGGGTGTCCGGTAACACCTGGGATGTTTAGAGATACCCTCCAAAATTCTGAGTTGAAGATCTTAGGTTGAAAACTTAAGATCTTAAAACCTTTGTTATCTCTCGAAGCCAGTCTTGGAGTGAGCCATGTGCATAATGTAGAGAGTGAAATTGAAACCTTTAATATGATACTCCAGTTATTTAAAAAATTCAATGCAAGTGGAGTATCAAGAAATGCAACGCAAGTGATATCACTTTCAGAACTTCAAAAGACAACATCAATGCAGAAAGATGGTTACAAAAAGAGAGACAAATGCAATGTTCATGCAATCTAATTTGAAAATAACTTTAATTATTTTAACATATACAAGGTAATCTTCAAACAAATTGGTTTTTCACTTTTTTGTTATGAAGTGTCCATGTCATGTCTCGTTTTTTCCCTTCAACATTCCCTAGCCATTAAAAATGAATCGAGCTCTTCAAAACTTTCAAAAATACAAGATTGGTTAATTTAAAATATGCTATCAATATTCAGCAAGAGCTGAGGTGTCCTGTACTATTTACCATTGAAATTTTGGTTAATATCAGAATCCTATAAAATGAGGTAAAAAAGTTGCTGGCAAATGATGTTCATTTGCCTATCAATGATAATATATAATAATTTATAATAATTAAACTACCATATCCACTAAGAAGCTATGCTAGATTCTAGCTTCGCAACAAGTCGCTTACTTGGAAGATTTTTCTTCACTATTCTCTTGGAAACTCTTGGGAGATACTTCATCTTTAGTTTTCAAGTCATCTGATCCACACATACAGATCCAAAACACGTTATTATGGCTCATAATCATGGCTAATATGTACAAGAAAAACAAAGAGAATGGAGAAGGTGACTAATAATGAACCCAAATATGTAGCAAATGATGCGAGAAAAATCTATATCACTGAAATATATTTTCCCCCCTATACTTCTTGGACATTGGATGAACTAGTATTAAAATCAAAATATAGATATTAAAAAAAAAGATTAAATCAAGACATAGATAAATGTACCAGGACGAGCTAGACATTAGTCTAACCAGGCCACTGGAGGTTGCAAAAAGTATTATTGTGATTTTTCTAATTACAATTAGATCAAGTACTCGATCAGAAACATAGTTTTCTGTTTTTAATAAGAAACTTAAATACTTTTAGGAATCCCAAGAACTGATTTTGTATATTTAATAAGACAAAGTGCTTCAAGTCACCATTCAATATTTGAATAAATAGAAATCATAAAAAGAATAATCTAATCAAAAGTCGAGTTAATGCCTACAACAAACTAGATATATCTTGATAAAGCATTCATTAACTGACCCTATTAAATACTTTTTTTTTAAATAACTGAACCTACTTAATACTTGAACAATTATAAACATTAATTTAACTGAGATATGAGAACAAATTAACAGAACTGTACTTGAATTATAAATGTATATGGGCTTTCCATGATCTTCCTATGATTTTTATATCCACTCCCATCTAAGGAAGAAAAATGGAGTGTAAACAGCAACATCACCAACTACGTCGGCAAAGATCTGATGTCTTAAATTAATTTCAAAAAGCACATTCTTTTCAATCTCTTAAAGGAAAGTCTCGTTTCTTATCAAAAAAAAAAAAAAAATTATAAAAGGCACCTTTAACTGATGAGGCAGTTGTATCTACGGGTATTGGTGCATTAATAGTCTCTGGAGGAGCAAAACCTGCATCCGCCAATAATTTAGTTAGAGCACAATAGAAACTACTGCTATGATTTAAACTTGATCCTTACCCTTCAATTGTAATGGCTTCATAATAAAACCAAGAACAGCAAATGAAACCATCAATATTGCCTCCCCCCAAAATGCATAGCGCCAACCTAAATGTTGACCGACCTATGAATTAGAAGTGAATGTTATTTGTATACACAAATATTTAATTTGAAGTATGCTATAAACAAGACAGGATAATGAGAAAGGCATAAAGAAAATCAATCATAATATGCAAGAAAATTTACTGAAATTTTAGGTTATGAATTATTCTTTGAGATAAGGAGACTACACCAACGCATACAAATGAATAAAAACTTACAAATCCACCGTAAAGATAGCCAATGGCATAACCAGTTGGTATACACATGTAGAATGCTGCAAGCCAGGCTGTTTTCTGTGACATATGAAATAATGTCTTCAATTAGATGGATAATATAATAAAAGAATGCCTGATTGCAAACTTTTGAGGTGACAGTGGCGATGGAAAAAACTGCACTCTAGAAACTTTAAGTTTATATTTATCTAAACTAAGCTGTATTTTACTATGGACATATCGCGTTTACAAACTTGAAGGATCACACAGGCAGGTATATAATTGTGATGAAATTTCAAGCAGATTCTAGAAGGAAATAAATGAACCTTGTCAACTGGTGCATTGTCATCAATGAATGGGGCAGCAAGACTTATAAATGAAGCCTCACCAACACCAACAAGCCTACAGATCAGAGGAAAAGAATTAGGTTCATGAAGAGGATCCTCATATTATTAAAACAGAAAGTGGAAAAAGAAAATGATAGAAAATAGCAGAGAAAAGGAGAATAAATACAAGATATTTGCTTACATGCGACATACTGCGATAGACCAGAAATTAAATGAAAAACCACAGCCAACTACTGCCAAAGTCCAAACAGATAATCCGACACCAATAAGCCTAAATGGATTTACCCTGCAAAATTTAAAAAAGATGACTTAATAAAAAATAAAGTTAATGTAATCACTACCACCGGCAAATAAATATTGAAAAACAAAAGGATTTGCTTCTTTTCCTTGTTCCTGTATATGTGTTCTTTGCTTGAGTAAGATGCTAAGTAAACATTCTCTATTTTGCAATTTTCCTTTAGCTGATTTCTTATGAGATAATTGGTTCACCATTTTTGGTTTGAGCCATCAAGATTGGATGTCTGGTTGAACTTATGATTTTAGGTTCTTCCTGATGCGACTTCTTGTCCTATTCTTTCCATACATGCTTTTATCTTAACAATTTCATGTTTCATATGAAAATTTTACTGAAAATCAACTTAAAATCTTGTCAACAGATAATACTTTGTAATATTTAAAGGGGCAACAACCTTCTTTTCTATCTTCAAACCTTGTGATCATGGAATAGAAGAATAGGAAAAGAGTGGGATTAACTAGGTTTTATAAAGGAGCAGGATTCCTTCATGTTTGGGGGATGGTTCTCAGTTTTGCAGTGGGCCACACATCATCATTACAATTTTAGAAAGAGGCTACCGGGTATGGCTTTCATCCTTCCTTCTGTATTCTGTGTTAATCATGCGGAAAGTCAGGAGCACATATTCTTCCATTGCTCTTATGCGTTTGCTTGCTGGAGATCTCGCCTTCTTCTCTTCAAAATGTCCTAGGCATTTGAGTTTGTAGTCCCAAAGATAGTTTCTAATCTGCTATTTGGTACGAGTCTTTCGGATGTTCCAAGACTGTTATGGATCAATGGAGTTAAAGCACTGTTATATGAGCTGTGGTATGAAAGAAATCAGGAGCTTTTTGAAAGAAAAAGTAGAGCTGCGGATGATTGCTTCAACATGGCTAAGTCTAGAACTTCTCGATGGTACGCTCTTTCCAATCTTTTTTCAAATTACTTTGTTAGCATGATATATTCTAATTGGGAGACTTTTATCGTTTCTTTATAGCTGTTTGAGATGGTCTGTAATGTTCGTTTTTAATTTTTATTTTCTGGCTCTTTGCTCTTCCTGCAGGAGTTTGTATCCTTCGAAAAATTTGTTCCTTTTCCCGCTCGGATACCATATTAATTGATAAGAAAAATAATTCTCTCTCAAAGAATTGATACAAGGCTATAAATAGCAGCTACAAAGAAGAAAAGAAAAATGAAACCCTTGCCTATTAAGATAAGAAAACACTTACCTAATAGAACAAAGAAACCTAAACTAAATACAATAGGAAATTAAAAGATAAAAAGATATAATTTAACACTTTTCATTAATCAATGAAAAGTTCATATCTTGTTAAGGAAAGAATGATTGATTATTCATATCATACATTTGTGAATTTCAATCTTAAGTGTTATAAGCCTTAAAAAGTCATATATGTTATACCTTGAGTGGTTGGATAGGTATTCAACAATTATTTAGGTTACCTCTTAGCTAAGGATGCAAATATTGGGCAAGCCACGAGAAGTCCAACCATAAAGGCAGATGATAGAACTCCGTCCTCAAAATTGCTTAAGTTAAATTGGCCCCTAGGAACAATAATCCAAAACATATTTTTGAGAATACAAAAGAGATGGAACAGCATTAGATTATTAATAACAAAAGTAAAATAATTAACATTTCAATCCAATTAACTTAGTATCACCGACGGTTCTAGTTTAATTCAGCATCACACAAGAGTGATCATACAGAACAAAAACAAAAAACTTGACCAAAAACTTTTGACAATCTCAAACATCTCGACTTAAAAGACAAATCAAGATGCGCTCCATCCTAAAATTTCTCTTATCTAAATGGGAGAACAATAATAGCAAGCAACAAATATTGACCCTAGCGACCCCCCAATCCAATTATATTACTTAGAAAAGAAAGACGAACTAACAATATGACTTAGAAAAATGCCAAAAATAAGTTTCTTATGGAGTCCAAAAAAATCTTACTGAATTCCGGTACCAGATGTGCATGTACCATCAGTTGTGCAAGTTTTCCGAAGCCCATTCACACCATTGCTTGCTATGGCCCCTCTATCCATATAATTTATCAAGTTGATGACACAAAATATAACAAGCAGTCTGCAGATTCCAAAATATATAAATAGTATTAGATGGCTGGATCTTTTTAAAGAATTTATAGGAAAAAAAAAAAAAAAAACTTCAATTAAAATTGAGAGATTGATCAAAATAGGAGGAAGATAATACCCAAGGCAGGCTACATAAACACTCTCCAATTGGCATTAATCATATAATGAGAATTTTAAAATTAAAAAAACTAAAGAAAAGAAAAAAAAAGGATAAAAAGCTCAGTCCAATTAGAGATACATGGCTCCAAAATGTCCCAAGGTTCTAAGTAAGATCTATATTTTCCATGGAAAAGGTCTTATTCCTTTGAAGCCAGACCTCTAAAAAATTAGAAGAAACAGCATCGTACGAACCACTTTGCCTTTTTTGCTCTGGAGGAGTCGCAAACAAGAACTTGGAGTAAGAATTCTATCACACCCCAAAAGAACACCTCAAATTTAAAGCATTCCAACAAATTCCTCCAGCATCTTAAGAAAAACAGGCAGCCTTGACCTTTAAAGTTCAATATCCTTCTTTTAAGTCCTCCTTGCTTGTGAATTCACAACAAATTCCTCAGGAGATAATCAATAAGACCAACCTTAGATGAGCTGAAGTCTTTGGGGCTTTTGAGCGGGTGATAGGAGAGACAGTTCATTTAAAGTAAGGTGATTCAAAAGAGATATGCATGCCAAGACAAATCCCGTCCACCTTAGAAATCATAGTTCGCTAAAAGAGTTGTCTATCACTGAAGTGTATTTTAAACCTTAATTCTCGATGTCCAGTCTCTCCACTGGTAACCCCATGAATGCTCCTTTGATGGTTGTGCTCAAGAGCATACAGTAAGCCCTCATTCCTTCCAAACCAAAGTTTCCAAAAGACAGGAAAAACAGAACTCATCCGCAGTAAAAGCACATCAAAGTAATCTCACGACAACAAAACTAATCAGATGAGAGTTGACATGATAAATCAAAAGGGTTTTCTTCATTACTACAAACCATCATATAATCACTAAGGAAACGAAATTAGGCATCTGAAACACTAATCTTCTTGTGATTAAAAAACCACCATGAACTTTTGCTTTGCTACTGTAACAGCACAATCGAATCCTGTTTAAAAAAGGCGAAAAGTAGCTCTCCACTGAACAAAATTCTCCCGGAAACCAAAGTGAAAAAGGAGTACCTAAACGGCGTAAACCAAGAAGGGTTAGAAGCTACATTAACAGAGCTCGCCATGTCCGCCACACCCGGTAGATTACGCTTCTCTGCAGGTTCCGCTGGCTCTTCCTTTTTGGGCATCATGTCGAAAGAGACGATTAATTAGGATATGTTAAGAAGATAATTTAGTGGGTGGGTGAAGTGACGGGCATTCGGAATTTGTTTGTCGAAGGAAACAGAGAGGAGCGAAGAAGACGGTGAGAGAGCTCCTATTTCGCAGTGAATCTGGTGTGGTTTTTCCTTGAGTTTCCACGGCAATGGAGATTCAAGTTCAACAATGGGAGAAAATAGTAGAAATTTTTGGAAGCGAAAAGCTTCAGATTTGGAAGGTTGTTTCTGATTGAGGAAAATAATTCAAAAAACAACAAATTGATCTGTATTCAATCATGGGTTCACTATTTCTGTTAAGATTCTGATTTCAACTGCTATCCTATACTCTCTCCCTCTCTCTCGTTTTTTTTTTTTTTTCTCCCACAAGGGAAAAAAATTTAAATACACTTTTTGTAAAATTAAGTTAAATTTAAACAAAAATTTGACGAGGCTACCGATCAAAATCTATGTATATAACATACTCCTTGCGTTCACATTTCAACACGTCATTGTATAATATACATTTTTATTGTCAAACGAGCATAGACATAAGTCATCCTATAGATATTGTATTCATGTATGTTCGAAATATAAATCTAGTGTTCATTCTTATGTAAATGGGAATGAAAAACAAGAGATACTTTTTCTCGAAATATGGACCAATGAAAGTTTAACTCTGAAGAAGCACTTCATGAAACCTCTCGAAATTTGATTGATTTATTTATTCTTTTTTACATGCGGAGGAAGAAAATTTCAATTTAAACGATAATTTTACATATATCTCCAATCAGGAGGTTGTGAGTTTGATTCTCCACCTCCACATGTTGTACTTAAAAAAAATATAAAAATATATATTTTTTTATTTCATGGTTAATACTATATTTTAAATATTTTTGAATCCACAATGTAATATAGAAAATTTTCTTGATTCAAGTAACTCTATATTGTTTGATAGTCATTTTTCATTTTCTTGTTTGGGTTAAAAATAAAACTTTTGTTATCCTCGCACTTTTAAATATTTTATTTATTTTAAAAAACAAATTTATACCATGAAGAATTATATTTTGTTTTACTTACTAAATTTTTGGGTTTGTTTTATTTTAGTAACTGAGTTTTCAAACTTTCTATTTAATTTACTTTGAATTCTTGAAACTTTTGTTGCTATTCATGAATCAAATATAAAATCATATATTTTGTTGGGTTGGTCACCTATCTCATGGAATAGGGGTAAAATGTTTAAATCTTATTTTGGTCAATTAAATCATTTAAAAATTGAAAATTTGAATACCATGCATGGTTAAACTAAAAAACAAAATAATAATAATAATTAAATTCACTCTCACTTAATGGAAGGGAATCTTGAAAATAAAAAGGAGTCCAAATCAAGAATGTGCACATATAAACAATAAATAAATATGAAGGAAAAGAAAAGTAAAATTTTAAGTTGAAAATTATGTCAAAAACTGCATAAAGAATATCCAATTTAGACCCAATGGAAATACTTTCAAAGACTTTATTTATTTTATTCTTTGAAAAGTACTTTAAAAGATTCCAACTTAGCCAAATTGATTGAATAAAAAGAAATAGATAATTAAGACCTTTTGGCAAAAGGCTTCTATGGTTGGCCTTTGTGCCAACTCATTTGGGAAGACAGAGAGAAAGGACAAATTAGTCACAGTCAAAAAGTTTTAGTGGGTAATGATGATGATAATTGTACTTTTCAGTTTTTTATATTATTAAGGTATCTATAATTTACTTCTTTTTTTTTCATTTTTTATTATCTCTAATTTGGTTTTATTTGGATAATTAATGAAGGTTCTAAAGTATATTAGAATTTATTTAGCTTAACGGTAATTGTCACCGGTCTCTGATCAAAATATCATGAATTCGAATTTGTTTTGAATATTGAGATCTTTAATTTTATGAAATGTTGGTAAAATATCGATGTCAATCAATATTTCTAAAAAAATATATAAAAATATAACTTTAATAACAAATAAACATGTCATCTTTTTTAATAACAAATGATTTTATTTTTTTTATTATATATATATATATATATATTTTTTTTCAATACGGTGAAAGTTCGTACCCAAATTTTTTTTATTTGAGATATATATTGAGTTATGCTCAAATTAACCCTTAATCTTTGTTAATTGAATTGTTTTCGCATAAGAATGAAAACAACCCAGAAAAATATCTATCATTTTTCTCTCCTCTAAACTCTCTTTCTTTGTTATTCACTTATTATTCACTCTACTAAAGAAAATAGAATATCAAATTATTTATTTAAGGTGAGAGAATGTCAATTAAAAAAAGGAGAGAGAGAATGTTGATGAGAAAGTTTTGTGATTATTAGGAAGATTGTGCTTGATTGTAGCAATCAATATTTGCAATAAAGATGATTAATTTCTCCCCTTTTTATTTTGTGTGAGAGATAAAAAGAGGAAGTAAAATAAAGTGACAACCAAACTATGCATTACTGAAAATTTTCAATTTAAAACACATATGAAAAGAAAAATTAGAAATGGAGCCCATACAATAAATTTAAATATGATAATATTGAAATTGAATTATTTAAAAATTCCTTTTACAAAAAAGATGAGTTTCATTTTCATTGCACAAAAGTGGACCCATTGGGCATTATCTCATAGTGCTTCCTTTTTTCAATCAAATAATGGAGAATTTGTCAGCCTGCTTTTGCTCGATCATTTTTATAATTAGGTATTTATGCCATAGCTCTACACTATTAAATTTTCATCGACTCATTAATATTTTTATATGTTTATTGGTTTAACATCGATATAAAGAGTAAATCGTTATTTCCATTGTATCAAACAAAAAAAGTATTAAAAAATATCAACAAAATATTATTAATATTAGTATTAATAACAAGAATTTTAAATTTATTTAAAAGAGGTAAAATACTAAATTAAATATATTTTTTTATAATTTTTCAAAAAAAATATCCATCAACATCTATATCTTATCAATATTTCCATCGACACATTTCCATTAACATCAACATTTAAAACTTTAACTATAAGTATAGGATAAGTACACGAAAAAGAACCGTCTTTTTTCTTTATTAAAAAAAACTTGTGCTACATGTCAAAACAATCTCTTGCTTGAAGAAAAACCATCTTTAGGATTATATAAAATAAATTCAACATTAACATCTCTGTAAACTGTAGCAATTTGAATTCACAGCCCTGAGTTGCAATGTAATTTCTTAAGAATAGTTGTAATGTAATTTCTTAAGAATATTATTTTTCCGAACGAACCATACAACTTTAAACATGACAGGTAAGGTAAAGAAAAACAATGTCGCCCCAATAGTCAAAATCCCTTTTCCTTAACCATCTCGAGGCAATGAACAAGCTTCTCAACTAATCTAGAAAAGACCCGAGCACAACTCAACTGGCTAGATATTAGTGACTATTTCCACGCCATTTGATATCAAAGAACCAGGATCCAAAATTAGTGACAACTAATAGAATATCAATCAAATGAAGCCAATATACATGGTGGTGTGGTTTCTTTGGGGAAAGGGCCAAAAGCTTTTCTGACAAGTTCTTTACAACAGTAGCCAGATGAGATCTTATGCCCACTAAAGACTAAACAAAGTCAAAAGTTGTGGGAAAAAAATTCTTGACAAGTGAATGGACAGAAACAAAACTTTTGGAACACAAGAATCCTTTCATTTCAGTAAGCCATTCACTTTTCTAAACCTCGTCAGTGGCTGCTATGAAAGGGGTTGGTGGCTCTGCCACATTTTGATCTAAAAAGTTGTTCTCTGAATCAAGTTCACAGTATAGAACTCCCTTTCCATCTAAATCTTCAGCCTTCTGGAAAACAGCATCTTGCTTTCTTTGCTCCATTTCTTTGCCATTTAAGATCAGAGAGTTGTCTTCCTGGTTCAGCCTCGACAGGTTGTCCTCGGGGGACGTTGATAAACTAGGTAATCCCGACTCGAGTGAGTCCTTGACGCGTATCTAATCAATCAAACCAGTAACATTGTCATTTTCTTCTTAGTGAATACTAACAAAGTCATATCTCATATGTAACAAAATGTAAAATGCTCCTATTAAGAATACACATACAATGATACAAGATTAAATATACTCTAACTTCTAACTTATAAGTTTAAGGTTTTAAGTTTCGTGGTTATTTGACGTTGTTTTGAACCAAGAGGCCTCTACCTTAAAGGTTCTCCTAAGTTTGAATGTCTGCAATGTCTTTTTTTTTTTTTTAAATTTATATGAATGATTTATGTGTTGAGCTTTATATCTGAGAGAAAGTATTACGAATGTATATAAAAGATTGAGCGTATAAACTTATGCTTTTGGATTTAGTAGTGATTTAACAATTCAGAATCACAAACACTAGAAATGGTAACTAATTTGCCAAACGATCAATATTTATACCCTAACCAACAAATTTCTAACTTGCCTAGCACCAAGAACATTGAGAAGAGACTACTAATAATGCTGAGTGAAATGGATTACTTTTAGGACAATGTGGGTTAGTGCTATTAGAGCTATGGTTAGAGATTTTTACGAAGGAAGAAGGAGCAATCGGTTGGGTCAGTTGGGGAATGGTGCTCTTGTTTCCCCTTGAACAAACCTGCATAAGGACTTTTTTCTTAAATCACCAACCAACTCAAATGCTTAGATCGATGGCGTACGGTAAACTTAATTTTTTTTATAGATACCTTAATACTCCCCTCACTCGTCCAAGTGGGTCAATATTAAATTGAGAGGAAATGACGTTACAAGAGTTCGAACACAAAACTTCCTGCTCTCACTCCATGTTAAACCACCAATCTACCGAAGTCTACCCAAAAGCTTAAGTTGATGAGTTCCAGTAAATTTATTCTTTTTATAGATACCTTTACACGCTTAACACTTTTCTACCAATGACCTTCTATTTGCACCAAATGGTAAGGGTTTCTTTTTAATCCTTTAGCTTTAGTTTGCTTTGACCTTGTATATTTCATTATTTTGATAGAATCAGTTTCTTGTCAAAAGAACAAAGAAAATGGATGAAACAAGCAAGTAAAAATATAAACAGACACCAAAATTCTGTCATTTAACTTCATGTCTAACAATTATTGTGATTGAAAGGAGAAGCCAGTGGTGCACTTCACTAATTCTAGAAGGAACAAGAAGGGGAGTATGTGAGAATAAAAGATAGGGAATTTATATGGACGTTGAGAGCTGGGATGATTAGAAGTGAAGGGTATGATGTAAGTAAGAGTGAGAGTGGAAGAAACTCGGATTTCCCTTGAAGTCTATAGTTTCGGCTGCCATTGTTTCTTTTGGCATTTAATCGAACATATCCCAAAAGAGGATTCTATCGTATTGATCGCTACAGTTCTTGGCAAATGAAGTCCCAAAAGTCAAATCTATTATCTTTCAACCATCCTTTTCTAGAAAAGAAAAGGGAAAGTAGAACTGATCCAACAACTGAAGAATTCAATTAAAAGACATTTTGACAGCTTGCCACGGTAGAGCCCGCTAAACTCACTAAAGTCAAACCAAATAGGTCGCAGAAATCAGTAAGTGCTCCCAGATAAAAGTTCTATCCACTCTCAGCTGGAATTTAGATGTATAGTCTATGCAAGCAAGACAATCCATTGACACCTCTAGCATGTTTTTTGCTTTCCTTTCCCTTTTTCTCCCACCTATATCTAGTTAACCAAAAATTTTGACAATTGTTTTATTTGAATATACGAACCTGCATCGGCTTCATAATTTCTAACTCTTGCTCGTCAGATTTGTCGAGTGCATCCTGAGCTTGTATTTCCATAGAGTCCCGAACAATCTGACTTATGAAAGACACTTGGTCAGACATGACGCCGAGCCCTTTCAAAAGCTTTGACCCGAGTTGCAAACTAGTCTGCACAAATAAATTGAAGAATTATTAGTCAAGATATCCAGGTTTATCTAGAAGAATATATCAAAGATTACAAAACCAAATGTCAATAATTATGCATTGTTTTCTGATCACTTGACCCTGTTACCTCCGCATCTTCGAGGATAGCGTCTGTAGCACCAGCATTCTTTAAATCTAATAGATGCACCACATCCTTAGCACGGCCGTAAATCGGGATCTGTATTGTAGAAGTTTTTTTGTGTTATACAAATCAGACCAAAAAGAATGAATAGCCACTAAGTTAAACAACAAACTTTAAAGGATAATGAAAGAGGGAGAGCAAATTTACTGCTGGGAAAGCAAGCCGGAGCCTTTGAACAGCCTCAATTGTCGTCTTCTTCTCTGTGTACATAACCATGACAGCTTTTGGAGAAGAGATTCCAGCGGACTGCAAAACTGCTGGTCGAGATCCATCTCCATAGAGAACAGGAAAACCAAGTTTTCTAGATGTCTGAAGATGATAAATAATCATAACAGTGTAAGAAGTCAGATAACCAAATAGCACAAAACTTGTGGAGGAGAAGAAAATGGGATGGACAATTCAAAGTAAGCTCTTGGAAGAACTATTTTACAGGAACTCTATGATATTGCAAACAAGGGAAGTGAAATCGCTCGTGACAGCACTGTGAAAAATGAAAATCTAGCCAACCTTCACTACAGAAAGATCGATGTCAAAAGCCACATATGGCCATCCAGGAGTGTCGCCATCTCCCCCAGATACCAAAGGTGCAGATAAGAAATTTGCCAGGACCTAGATAGCAAAGACAAGATTCAAAGGAGAAAAACTCGGGGCTGAACCCTTTCTATATAATGGTTCATAATATAAATCAGAAAAAAGAATACATACATATATACACACACACACATACCTGACCCATTTGTCCAAATCCAACAATGACAACAGGTTCGCTAGCGTCAAAATTTACCGTCTCTGCAGCTTTCTGTGAAAATTTCCCATTTCAAATTAGGCATACTAAACCAACACAGTAAAAGTATAACTGGTCTAGACCAGCATCCAAGCATTCTTATTTTTGTTTTCCCTATTTTATTCTATCAGCACATTAGAGAAATTATTTACTTCAAAAAGTATTTCCTGCTAGTTTTCCGGTTAGAACCTTAGCAAGTAAAGATACCGATACAGATCATTTGTTTATTCATGCCCATTCCATTTAAATGGCAGTTATGCAACAATCTTGCATCTCTCTGGTATAATTAAATTGTCTTCCCAGAAGCAGAGCAGTGACATTTTCTGAAATGGCTTTAAATTTAATATAAAAAAAGACCGATTTCAAAGAGATAAGCTAAACCGAAAATTATTTGGAGTATTTATTTGAAGCCTGGGGGACAATTACCAAAGTTCAAAGAATGTCTTATAACATATTGAGTCTATATTACCTTTAAGCTTTCTGAGGCCGTCCAAGTTTAGTTATTTTCCTTGTATTCTATCTTTTAAGACCATAACTGATAACTGGAACGGTTCTAAGTTTGTCATTTCATGGAGGATTCTCTGCCTTCAGAAAGGATCTTTGCCTTTCATTGGTAATTATACTTTATACTACTTGTAACTGAGATGAAGACAATCCTGAAATGTTCTCTTAATGGGTCACATAGCAAGGTAGCAGCAAGAGGTCTCTATAAGAATTATCAGCCACTGAGTAACAATTTTGTTGCCATCAACAAATGCAAAGCCAAATTCAAGTCCAGTTAAATGCAAATCAGACACTGGGTATCAAAGAGAAGCCTTAAAGTTAGAACATACGTCCTCTGTCTCGTACTTTTCGCTAATGAATTCAGATGCCTTTCGTCCAGCTTCATTAAGCAAGGGGGTTAGAGCCATTGACAAGACAACAATAATGATGAGCAGCTTGTTTAACTCAAGTGGTAGCACTCCAAGCCTGCTATCATGGAAGTGGTAAATGGTAAGCAAACATGAAACAAGGATTCATGGGTGGATAATAGACGTATACCATCTAAGTTAAGACTTGCCTGTTAGCTAGAGAAAACACTACAAACCCGAACTCGCCTCCTTGAGATAGAAGTAATCCTATTCTTACACTTTCTTGAGTAGTGAGTCCCACACGGGGACCTATTGCTGTTATTATAAGGGTCTTGATTGCTATTAAACCTGCCAAAAGTGCAAGAACATTCGGCCATTCTCGGAACAGGAGCTGCATAGAAATGAAACCTTTTATAAAACAAGATGCAGTGGAACCCTCAAGTCATAAGAGTACTTTGGGATGTGGCCTAACTTCTAAGAACATATTGAAAAATTTTAACAGATCATATCAAAAAGAAGGAAAAAACAGAGCATAATTGTGAAAATTTTGTTTCCACGTCACACCCTTTAGCCAGAAAGTGTGCATGCACTCTTTTTATACCTTCTAAAAAACTTATGAGGTTCAGCTAAGAAATATTACATTGCACGTAATTAGATCTCTTGTGGCTATAACCTATATTCTCCTAGTTGCAATATACATCATTCAAACTAACAGATTATTATTGCATAACTATATTAATTATTAACCAATAATGTAATCTTAATCTAATATGGCAAACAGAAGATATTGCACCTGCGTATCAATGGAAGTCCCCGTGGTAACAAAGAATAACCCAAGGAGCAAGCCCCTAAATGGCCTAATATCTGCTTCAATCTGTGTCCGGAAATTAGTTTCTGCTAATATTGCTCCAGCCAAAAATGCTCCCAGCTGTACTGTACATCAATTATAATTAAGATATAAATATGAAAACTAAACTATTCACATTTGTTGTTCTCAAGCATTTAAAAATGAAACAAACCGTATCACTAAAGCCCAATTTCTGAGTGATTAGTGAAGTGCCAGCAACTGTCAGCAGGCAAAGTGCCACAAAAGCCTCTGAGCTTCTTGCTTCCGCAACTACCTGAATATTAATCTCTATTAAAATCTTGAAATAGACTTGGACCCTTACTAATATTGCCGAAATAAAATAAGCATGATGCAAACCTCAAAAACTCGCCTAAGTATTAACTTCCCTCCAAGGGAGAGCAGACCCAGTCCACCTAAGGCCTTCAAACTTTCTTGTGCAAGCATTGGCCAGATACTTTGCGTGCCCAAATTCTATGAGGATGAAGAGTGAAAGGAAAAGAAGTAATACACGAGGTTAACTGAATTGTTTAACTTGGTTCTATGTTATAGACATCTAGATGAAGGGGAGAAATAGTTGAGTGTATAAAGCAATCACGGGAGAAACGTTTTAGATGAGCAGCAGAGGGATTCAAATTCCCCAGCTTTTTCCCCCAATAACAGATCGTTCTCTAAACAAGGCTAGACTCATTTAATATACCTGGCTCTCAAGAACCGGAAGTATGACCAGGAGAGGGACAACAGCAATATCCTGCAACAAACAGTATGCATTACAGAAAAGTTACAGAAATAATTCTGATTGAAACCTGAAAAAAGGACCAAAATATTTCAAAAGAAGGTATATAATATACTAAAGAGGACCAACGTGAAAAAGTCCAGAGAATAAATTTAAAGTGAAAAAGAAAAAAAAGAAAAACCTGAAAAAGAAGTATCCCTAGAGTTGCCGAGCCAAACCTTGTTGCAAGCTCACCTTTCTCTGCAAGAAGCTATTCATTATGATAGGTAAGGTCAACTTTCCTAAATGCTTACCTTTAGCATATCCTCACATGTAAAATGTGATAAACTAAAAAAATTGCTGTTAAAATTATATTTTTGGCTCTTTCACAAAAAAAAAAAAAAAGAAAAAAAAAGGGCTAAATTTAATGAAATTAGTAATGATAAGACCTAGATCTTGTCATTGAATGGAAATGAAAGAGGATTTGGTTGATGAGATATTAAATCAATCAATACATGATTAACATTGATTGCTCTATCAATTCTACTTTAGTTGTTATCTCTAGATAATAAGAATCGTACTCATTTTTGTGGAGATCACAGAAAATTGGTGTAGGTCTTCTTTTTACCCTATTTCCCCATGCCTCTAAACTTTAGTGATGCTACACAACTGTTACTGTTATATAACTTAAGAATCAATCGCAGGATTGTTCTTGACCAAAGATTGAGTACAGGAGGACATAGGTTTCACAATCTTCAGAGGTTTTACTTCTCCTCCATTCTTAATAATAGTCTTGTCTTCACGTCCTCAATGGATTGATGCATCTTTTCATGAAATTATAGAAAATGTAGGCATCAAAAAAAAAAAAACATTTTGCTTCACTACAAGCTAGGTAGAAATTAGAATTTACGCCAGTTACAGAACCAAATAATAATTTTCGATGTAAGCTATGTGCCTCCTCCTATAGTAGTGTAGCCTTGTATATGTTGCAGAGAGGCAGTAGAGGACCAGAATCACTTACTCCAGCATTGCACTTTCCCTACTGCCTCTTTGCAACATATTTTAACCAGTGTCAAACCCATGCCGAAAGCAACAAATACACCCCACTGTAGAGGAGTCTATTGTGACTGGTACGGCATGGGTTTGACACAAGTATTATGACATTGCACTCTCCCTAGAATCCCTTCTCATACCTATGAATTGGTGTATGGAAAATTAGACATATGTACAAGTTCTATTCTGCGAGTCTCACCCTCATTCTTTTTAAGAAGTGTCAATCCTTTCATCTAAAGGACAACGAGTCTTTTTGAAGTTTGAAGATTTTTTCATGCTTTTCCTATTTGCCATTTGAAGAGTTTGTTTAGCTTGAAGGGAGTAATTTTGGTTGTTTTGACTCGTTTTGTCAAGATATTAGGCTTTTTGTTCTTCAATATTCTAATCTCTTGTAATATTTAGAGATTTGTTTTTTATTTGGCTTCAACATTTTCTTCTATTTCATTTATCAATGATAGATTCTGAAAAGTTTGTTTCTTGATAAAAAAAAAAGTTCTATTCTGAGAGTACTTTATTAGGCTACCTGTAAAACAAAAGCTGAAGAAGAAAGAGAAAGGGCAGCACCAATCACAATAGCTTCATCAATGCTTCTGATGTTAACCTACAGTTCAGAAAATCATATCTCAAAGTTAGTAAGTAAATGCAACATTGTCATCATAGCATAAGAGAGGGAATTGAAAACCGCTTCCATACTAAGACTGCAATCATAACACAAAAGGAAAGATTTTGTTGTCTGAATCTGAAGTTCTCAAAATTTAGCAGCAAAATGTTATAAATGTTTATACACATGGGGACTTGGTCTAATATTATCTTTCCTTCCCCTCCATTTTCTTTCTTGTTTTTTCTATCTTCCTCCATTGAGTGGATTTATCATTTATAAAAATAGTCCAAGCCCAACTTGTCACCAAATATCTCCTTGGGGTAAATGATAGTTTCTGAAAGAGAGAATGAAGTCAAAGACTGATATTCCCCCAAATCTCAACTCATCAAGTCAAAGACTGCCAAGTGCCAACCTTGGAATATGGGCATTAAATTAGACCATTTTTTAGCTAAAAAGATAAATATAAATTTTCAATTTCAATGGACGTGATTCAAAAAGTAAAGCTGGTAGTCTATTCTAATCCTTAACAGGCAACAGCCAAATAAATTGGGATTCAGAATTTACATGTATGTAATGCAGATCAAGGATATCAATTGAAACAGATTGCTTACCAAGTCAGATCTGGCATGAAAAAGGAACTCCAAAATTCTTGTTCCAATAGCCCCATTAGGGGGAAGTTCAAATGCTGTGAAAGCGATAGTAGATAATATGACCTTCAAAAGTAAAGGTGGGAGTGGGTGAGTGAACAAGTTAGAAGACTTAAACTACAAGGAGAAGATACGAACTAGATTATAGAAATTGAGCGCTCCTCTACTACAAGCTATCGCATATCCAATGTGGAAAGGACAACGTGCCTTACCACTTCAAACTATATACAACTTTCTTGATCTCCTCCAAAGTTAAAAGTGACTACAACACTTCCCTATCCCCAAAACAAAAGGGTCAACAATTCATCCCCTCCAGAGTCCAGGAAAAATGGAAGGGGAATAAAGGGAGATACAAAAAGACATGGTTTCCCCCTTCATGACTTTGTCACCAATCAACTTTTTATTCTTATAAGCAAATCGATGACGTCTAATTTGGAAATTGAAACTCAGCATTCAAAATTACCTTCTCTAACCTATTTCACTCTGACTTTCCCTCTCCATATATGCATCTTATTTGAAAGACTGAAACCCAGATAAGATGACTATATGATGTGACAACAAATTTCAACCTGTTTCCGTTGATTTATGTATCAAAATTATAGATGGTATTAGTAGGCCTAATCAAGGAAAAGTAAACAGATTCAATTCACAATTTATTCCAGTCAAGAATCTATTTTTCTTTGTAGAATCATACCTGTGTCAAACCCATGCCGAAAGCAAATCTTGCAAGAGCCTTTAAACGGGCAAATGAAAGCTCTAGACCCATCTCAAATAGCTAAAAAGGAATACTGTTAGTGTAATGTATGATTAAACAAACACACTCAAATGCTAACATACATGCTCAAACAATTACACATAATAATAATCATGATTCATGAAGATAAGAAGGAAGGGAATATGATGGCAGTCCAAAGGTGGTCAGATCTATAATACTTCACAGTGTCTTTCTTCCACATCCAATAACTTATTTAATTCATTTAATCTTAATTTAAGTTAATTGTTATGCAAAATGCAACATCATACATGGATCGTCATTCAATGATAACAAAGCAGCATAATACCCACAAACTAGCCCATGAAGAAAGAGTTTATGTGGCTTACCAGGAAAAGTATTCCCCATTCGGACAAAACTTTAACATCTATAAGATTTCTAATCACACCAAATTGATTAAGTACAATCCCAGCAAAGAAGAAACCAAGTATCTGAAAACAACCACCATAAGGTCAGACTTTTAATCAAACATGAAAAAATTGCATAGTAATTCGTATTATTCAAGATCTCCATAAGACAGCACTAAATATTGTTATATACAGCTCTAGCATGTGCATGTATACGTGTCTGCCTAAATAGGAATCTTAGTAGAGTTAAACATCTGTGCATATAATGTAAAATCTTGCATTAACTATATCTGCCTGTGCCTATTGATCAGTTTCTTAATATTTTTCTTTTTAATTCTGGGAACCCAAAACTCTCAAAATATTATTTCGTTCACCAGTCCAAAACTGATAACACTTGAATCGGTCACATCTTTTATTTCTGATGCTCTAATCTGAAGTTAGACCTGCAGTAATTAGAGCATCTTGGTCCCAGAACTCTGACCCGACAACACCCTCATTACAAGTCCATATATCGCTATCAGATTTAAGATACTACTGTCATCCACATGACATTGATAAATTCATGCAAGTGGCCCTTGGGAACTAAATCTGAAACCTCATACAGTTAAAGTATTTCACTACTAAATTCTAACGATCCAACTTTAAGAACAAGAGCATGAGGAGAGAAATCAGTAAACTCTAACAATCTTTGTCAATAGTAATATATTTATTCAGAGAATGACATCATACCCATGCTATGTAAAAATAAGCCAATATCAAAAATATAGTTATAAAAGCCAATCTGCTTAAGATGAAGAATGAAACTATCACAAGAAAAATGGAAAAGAACCAAGACGCCCAGCAGATTCCTCCAACCCACCCCCAAAAGTATTATATGTATCATGCTGTCATGCACATGTGTATAAGTATATAAATTTTATCAGAAAATGGAATATGGAGCTACCTAAATTACTTTATAGAACCACAGAAAAGGGAACAAAGTTGACATTGCAGTAAACTCCACCAATCTTAAACATGATAGTATACCACTTATTTTGAAACAAATGTTGTATTCGCATCCTGACGGTTAATCATTATATTCATGCACTTCAAAAAGATAATTCAATCTCATAAAGATCGAATGAAAATAAGAAAAATAAGCGGAGGAGAAAGAAAATATCATTCTTACAGGGCTAGCTTTAACTCTCCTAAATAGAGGAACAACTATGACTGTCACAGCTAGGAATGTCAATGTATCCAATCCTAGATCATTGATGACATCAACAGCAGCTGCAACATCAACGGCCGCACATGTTCTTAATCTTTCCCTCTGTTTAGGCCTATGATTAGACCAATTGAATCCATCCCGGCCAACTACTTTAGACGAGCTGAATGCTAATGTAGTAGAACTGTTGTGGAAAAGTACAGGTACTAAAGAATAACCATTCCTCAAGCAATTTATGGTGAATGATGGAACAGCCACTTTCTTCGACTGTAAGTTATGTAAATTGAAGGAAGGTCCACAAAGTTGATGAATAATATGAGAGTAGGCCCTCATAGGATTCTTCTGTTTAACTACACTATAAATCTGCATAGTAAGAAACAAGTGAAACAATTGAGAAACTTGGGCATAATAAACCTCCTCAAGTTTGAAAGTGTAAATGGGAGTTATTTTAAACAGAACCGTGGAGGTAAAATAATTTTTTCATAAGGTTGAAGAACTATTAAATGAATTGTTGAATGCCTTATTGAAGTAGTTACTGGGTTCCAAAAGTTGGTAATATAACTAGCTATTCGTCGTCAAATTTCTGATAAAAGAAAACAATAAATTTAATCGTGTCAGAACCTGGAAGATTTTAAACTAATACCTCTTCAGTTCCACACAATTTTATTTTTATTATATGGCATTAGCAGTTGAAAAATAATCTTCAAATAGCTTCCAAGAAGAAATGACTATTGAATTAAATGCAAAACACGTACAAATGTAAAAAATAATTAGTAACCTACCACTGGGAGACCAATTCAATATTCAACAATTCACTGTCCAAATCTCTTTACAGTCTATATATTGCAAAAAACATGGCGGAAAGAAATTTGATAAAGTCATCAGTATCCCAGTAACTTCACAATTCACATACTCTTGGCACTATATTGTTCCATATTCCAAATCAATCATCCCTCAAAAGAGACCGAACCTTGCAACCCATTAAGATATGCAATTTCCAAGTCAGATTATATCTAAAAATATACACATTAAGAAATGGCCTTGAAATTCCAATCCAATTGTGAGTTTTGCGATCACTTTTGAGAATAGTGCCTTTTAAGCTAATCTACATCAGAAAGAAGCACTACCCAAAATACTTCTTTACGGTGTGATTAAAATCTTCGAAAATCACTTTTGACCCATGTAATCAAACCTCATGAAAATTTGAAAGAGTGTTTAAAAGCACTTTTCACTCATTCAGAAGTGGTACCAAACTCACCTGAGTCCAACAACACACATCCACGCCATCAAGATTTTGAAACTTCATATCATGAAAAGATTACAAAAACTAATAGACAAATTGCTACCTGGGACTGGGAGCTTTGGCAGCAACTAACCGGGTCCAACATAGTGCCTAAACTCATGAAGCCAATATACCCAATTGGAATACAGTGAGAAACATTTGCTGGCTTAACGACAAACCCAGAACTTCAAAACCCAGATTAGAAAATTAGAACATAAATATCCAGTCAAAACTGAAGGAGGGGGCAAGAAAGATCAAAATGGGGCTCAAATTTTTTGGGATTTTGATTAGTAAGTAGCTTTTGGAGAGAAAACAAAGGATATGCTCACATCGCCATGGGAAGATAGAATTGGATTTTGAGTTGTAATAAGCGTACGCCCCAGAAAGGCTGGCAATGTTTTACGTGTCCATTTTTGCGACCATGGCAATTGGTGTAATCAGACATGCAATCCAATACTACATCCGGAAGAAGACAATGGAAATTGAGAGAGAAAATCTGAACCACTAACCCATCACCGTGTAATGGATTTGTGGTGCAGAATCAAGTTCTGAAAATATGCATATGGCCTGCAAACAATTTTTATATACATCACTGAGAAACACGTGAAAGTTCAAATTTTGTAATTTTATTTAACTTCAAGT